TTCACAATTTGTCACGCATTGAAAACAAAGGATTCCTAGCAATCTGCAAAACAGAAGTCAGCACTCCTTACCCCGAGTCATGACTTGAAACTTGCTATAAATGTAGAGCTAATTATTGTATGTTGCATCTCTGGTCAATGACATTTTTCTAGAAATTCAAAGAATGTTGTGGAAATTTTCTCTTTTAAAATAGCTGATATTTTATGTGGGCAAGAAGCCTGAGAAAAGTAAAAGTAATGCCAGTAGAAATGTATTACTGGGTAGGGTACAAAGCTGGCAGTCAAAATGCATTACTCTACAATCTAATGTACAGGCCGTCCTTGACTTACAACGTTTCGAGTTACTACGTTTTACACTTATAATGTTTCTAAATTGAGACCCTGTTTGAATTTTATGACATCAGTTTTGACTTTACAATGCTTGATCCGATGCGACTCCACGCCAGTGAACAAGTTCGCTGCGTCGCTTATCTCCTTGGAGAACATCTGTCCAAACTTCCTTGGACACTTTCTTTAAGAAAGCACATAAGACTCCAGACGAACCTGCAGCCAAGACTCCTGAGAAGACTCCAGCCAAGAACCCTTCAAAAAGTCCAACGAAGAGCCTTTCAAAAGTCCAGCAAAGTCACCTCAAAGAAGTCCTTCCAAATCAATATGATTGCTATTTACAATAGAAATATATTAATGTAGCTATATTACTCATCTATAATTGATTGAGTACAAAATTCTGGGGTATTTTTGGTAAAAATAGGGTATCAGGCCTTGGTTTAGGAACCAATCCCCCATTTATAACATTGTTTCTTATGAGAAAATTGGTTCCGAGTTACAACGATTCAACTCAAGACACGGTTTTAGGAACCAATTGTGTTGTAAGTCTGAGGACTGCCTGTATTGACTATTAGTACCTATGTTTGTAAGGAGGGTGTACAGCTTTATGTATTCACAGTCTGGTCTGGATGTTGTTGCATCATGAGCCTCACTACAATAGCAGTCCAGTTGATAAGGCCCTATTGTGCTGTGTTTTCTGCAGAAATATTAAGTACTATGTTTGTCTCAAAGAGCTTGAAACCCAAATGTATGGGTCAGATAAGGGTAGAAAACGAAACAGAAGCTAAGGGATGTAAAGTGATTATCCAGGAACACAGAGTAGGTTAGTGACAGTCACAGAACAGAACTGAGATCTGAGTGCCAATGAGTATTATTCTTGTCTACATTTGTCTTTCCCTTCTTTCCGCCTCTCCCCCACACGCATACACTGTGACACGGTTGAAAAATGATACAATTTTCATAACTAGTCAAGCAGTAGTTTTACTTATTTAGTACTGATGTGTAATAATGAACAGAGAAAGTTGAGGGTTTCTATTCATTTACATTTCCCATCAGGCAAGACTGCTTCAGAACATTGCAACTTATAGTTTATATCTTTCAGTACTGTTGTGGAAGGACTCTATTAATTTACAAATAAATCTCCTTCACCCTTATTACTTTAAATATATCAGGAATATAGCATTGTGCATTAGACATGATACAATTATATACAAGTCTTAAAAGAGGAAAAGTGATTCATAATACTAGGAAATACCACCAACCCCATATTGATTTCAGTTCAGTGCTGCCTTCCAGTAGAAGTGTGTCCACACCCACCGACACAGCAGATGCTTTGCTTATAAATTTTCTGCTGGAATAGGAGTGTGCCCTCAAAAGCAGTCAGTGCCTCTGTTCTTGTTCTATTTTTGCTTCCTAGATAAATGAATTCTATTCTATCCCTTTGAGTTCATTGAAATCTTGCAGGGAAAATAGGCATTTCCTGCACGATAAGGCTGCAAAAACTGCATTTTCCAATGAAAGGGCTCATTCATTTATGTCACCAGAAACTCGAGATAAAATTACAGCCTTAAATTGTGTATATATATATAATATTGAAAATATATAGCGTGTCACATTAAAGGGGAAAGTCTAAAAGGGAAAGGTATTTGCTGCTATAGATTTCATACTCTGTGTACTGAAATGCCACAGCAAGATTTATTGCAGGCAGCAAAACATGATTTTATACTGTTTAGTATTGTAATTCTTTAAAGCAACTGAAGATCTTTGCACCTGTTAGTATTCTTTCTTGCGCTATGTGATATCAGAACAGTGGTCTGCACAGCATGACACTTCTTAGCTCTGGCCAATGAATTGATTTGGAGTGTTCCCATGTTGTGATATCAAGCCATGCTGTTTCTGGGGCTCTATGAGAGATGCAAAAATTAGCTCATAACAAAAATTGAGGCCAAATAAGCTGAATCCCAGAGAGAAATTGATCAAGCACTGGCTGAATGCCTAGGATTCCATGTCTTAGAGAAAACTGAGCACAAAGAACAATATTGAATTATAATAAAGTGTGCTCATTGTATAGCTACAGAGACAACAACTGCTGCTTTAACTAACAAGACTCAGTTTTCAAGATGATCAGTGGAGTAGGTCAAAAACTGAAAATTTCAAAATTAGACCATTTTAACCAGTTCCATAGCTGGTCATATTTTTTTTTCAAAATGTTAACAATATTTCCTCACCTTATTTTCTTTGAAAATGTGAAAATACTCAACCAGCTCTAATTGCTGAAGATGTTCTGAGTGGGGCATACTGCTAAACTGTATCATGGTTTGATTAATCAAAAATCTATATCTTATAGTTAGTTTAATAATTTAACTGGGTTGTGTTTTATATCATGGGGTTAAATCTTGAAGTGCTTACTGAGTTCATCCACAAAACTCCCATTTAAGTTTATGAGTGTAAGAAATGGTTACTAAAGAACAAGAAACACACTTGCTCTTTTTAAATGTCTTTCCCCTGCTGCTTCGTGCTACTTGAACAATACCTAAGATCCTCCTTATCTCCATTAAAAATACTTGTTTTTAAATTCATTGCTACCAAAACATGTCTTTGTTATCCAGCAACACATGCCCCCCTCCCCACCACCATTTTTCCAAGTCACTAGCCTCCAGCACATGTGGAGGCTATTCAAGCACACTCCTGTTACCAACTTCCCCAAAAAAGATGGCCCAGGTTGTGATTACAAAATAGGTCTCTTCAAATATTCTTCCTTTTCCAAACAATGGTTTACAAGCAAGCACGGTGCTTGCATCTGAGTCTTGACTAACTTCCTAGCCTGAAAAGCATGTGTTGATCATAAAAATATTTTGGACTAATCAACAGAATTAGGGACATAACTTAAAATTCACTAATATTCACTCTAAAAATAATTTAATTTAACTTTTCCTATGCAGCATAGAAAGAAATCAAGAAAAGTACTAATTTTCACATTGAATCTAGCATCCAGCATCATATGTATGAAAAGTGTACAAATCACACTTACATAGCCGCAGTTAAGAACAGAAACTTTTAGTGGAAGAACCAAAAAAAGGAGAGGTTACACATCCTGAAATCTGTTCAGATCTTGCTAATGCAATATCTCCCTTGTTCTCCCTTTTTGTTCAATTTGTCCACTGTATTATTTACATAAAGAATGCAAGGTCTGTTAAAGATCAGGCCATTGTGAACTATCTTGCTGCTGTTTAATATGACATGTTGACTTCTGGCACACCTCCAAGGAAACACTTGATTCACTATAGTTTTAGGAGTTTGGAAAGCATGCCTCTTCCCCTTTTCTCTTTTTTTCCTCTTCATGTGATACTCCCTTGCATTTTTACTATTTACCTAACTTATCAAGTAGCTTACCTAATCTATTTTGGATTTTCCAAAATGCCAGTCATTGCTCCTTACAACCCAGTGGGCACTGCCTTAAATAAAATCATCAAGTCACAGATTCAGATAGAAGTGGGGCTGGAAGGGACCTTCAGAGGTGATCTAGTCCAGTGGTTCCCAATCTGTGGTACAGATACCACCAATGGTATGCAGACAATCTGTCAGTGGTATGCATTAACAGATATATTACAATTACTTTATGCCAAACATTTGCTGGTGGTACTTAAGGTTGAACTGAAAAATTTGCTGGCGGTACATACGGTTGTGTCATTTTAAATTGGTGGCGTGCAATCTGTCAGAGTTTGGGAACCGCTGACCCCTGCCTGAGGCAGGATCACCCCTATCTAAACCAGTCTACACAATCCATAATCTAAACTCAACCCTGACACAACACAGATCAAACACCCTAACCTGCCACAGGTCAAGCAGGGGAACCAATGCCCTGCTTCTATGAAATGTTGTCAATGTATGCTTAAGAGATCCCAGGCAGAGGGTCATGTCCCCCACTACAGAGGAAAGCAACCAGTCTGTACCAGTCTGATCATGGGGTCAAATTCCTTCCTGACCGTAGCTTTAAATGGGTTTTTCCTTCTTCCTCTTTTCTTCCAGCTACCCCAGTCCTTCTGACCATGACCATTTCCCAGTAACCATGACATTGCCTTTTAAATGCTTATGTATATATATCTATATATTAGTGGTATTTCACTTTAATCACAGAAAAATGTGGCTTTTGGGTTACCTCTTTTAGCTGAAAATTGGGGATATTTTGTTTTTTAATCAAAGAAAAGCAGGATCCATCCCACTCCCCCAGCAGACACCGTTAGGTTCCAGGGTTAACCCGAGAGCGGAGACCACCCACGCTCAGCCCGCCCCGCCTGGCCCCGCGCCCTGTGTCAGAGCCCCGCCTTCCCCTCCTCTTCCTTAGCCCCGCCCCCTCCCTGAGCCTACTCTCCGCGCACCCCCGCCACCAACACCCCTCCTCCCCGCCCCCGGAAGCAGCTGCGCCTCTTGGCCCCGCCCCC